ATGGACGACGTTGCTGGTGATGACGGCGTGGGCGTCGCCGCCTTTGCTGGCCCCCCCGTGGGCCACGGCGGCCATGGCGCGGCGGCGCCCCGCCGAGCGTTGAGAGCTGCCAATATATATCTGGGGCCGCTGGAGGCCTTTATCATCTTGGGCGCAAAAGGCGGCTCTTGGGCACGGGAGTTCAATGATATTGTATCGCATCTGTTCGACGACGGCCGCCAGTACTTATTCTGCATTGTGATCGGTAGGTGGGAAATGATCCCAGCGGCGGAGATCGACAATCTGACAGACTTAGACCACAGGATCGCGCAGTCAGCTCTTGGCCAACACTCCGATGAATATGCTGGGCTTTTGACGTACAAGGCGGTGAACGCCATCGACGTGGTCCACCCTTTCCATTGCGAGCCCAGCGACCCGCAGGCCATCCTGAATATGCTCCGAGGTCGTCAAGTTAAGTTCTGGACAGATCGCGACCATGGCGTTGACACATCATGGGATGAAGCTTGGTACAGTGTGCTTGATAAATATAGGGCGGTTCGGTTTGTGCAAAAGCCAGTTGTAGTTTGCCCACCTCTAGCAATGAGCATCGCGGAACTTCATCAGGACGTGTTCCACGCAGTTGTGATTGGTCATCGGCTGAAGTCATTCTGGGGAACTGGCCCCACAGCAGGGCGTCTGAAACGATTTCGAGAGCTTCATCCCGTCCAGCAACATGTGCGGCAACACCAGGGAGCGGTCCATGGTCGTGCTATCATGCGGCGTGGACTGAGCGGCAGGCTGGTGATCAAATGGCTGGCGGCTACTTCGGACTTGAAAGCCCTGCGGCATGCTGGAAGAGCTTGCGACAACTGGGCTTCTCTCATCGCCGAAGGCGCGCCTTTGTCCGAAGAGGAGCTCACACAACATATGAAGTCGGTCAGGCTAGAGACCCTCAGGCGGAGCCGGGTACGTTTAGATTGGCTCTGCATGCGTCTGACTAGGCTCATGTTCGCTCGCATCAACTGGTCCCGCATCGACACGTACTTATACATAGATTCGTCCCCTCAAGGCAGGGGGTGGGAAATGCAGGCCGCCAGCGTGAGGATCAGGATGGACGGAGTCGACTTTTTAAGACGAATGCTTCCACCCGTGCTGCTGATGAGGACCCAGCTCACCTCGTTTTCGAAAGCTGGAGCGCTCCTGTGGCAGATATATCTGTGTTTTGGCGGATCTCCCGACGCAATGAGGGCGTTTTTGAGCAGGGTGAGGGGGATCGTTTCGGACATGGGGACCGAGTGCATGATCGCGAAAATGGGTGATATACTTCCAGATTTCTTTGCTGCGCTGGGGCTCCGCCAATTCATTCAACGACAACCCTTACTTTTTCCTCGAGCATTGGTCATACCTGGCTGGCGCCACAAGATTGACCTTTTAATTAGACGTGGGTGCAGTTCGCTCAGGTGGTTCCCCGAGTTCATTGCCCAGGTGAAGGCTATGATCTCGTTATTTCGGGACGAGGCTCTTGGGCTTTCCAAAGCATGCAAAAGTTGACATAACATAGCAACAACAATACTTAGATCAGCACCATCATATAAAACAGAAGCTAAACGAAAAAACACACACACACACACACGGGCAATCGAGGAGGACGGAGGGTTAAAACTGAGGGCCCTCAGTTTAAACCCCCAACGTGGGGCAGAGGGAGGAGGAGTAGGAGGAGGGGGGAGGCAGGAGGGATCAGGGAGGGAGGATGAGGAGTCCAGAACCCTCGTCGACTTTTGCATGCAGCTCTTTTTTGTCCCAGGGACTTCGACATACGCTTGGAGAGTACTGGAGGGGTCAAGGTTTAGCTGGCCTCGCCGACCTCATAAAAGATATATCTCTGCCGACGTTCGCCGAATGGCGCTGGGCTAAGATGCGTGCGTGTCTCCATGGGCTAAATGACTTTATCTGGTCAGTGGCTGGGCATTTTGATAGGCAGGCCCTCGGGGGCATCAGAGATCCGACTCGTTTGGCCAAAGTGTTTACCGCGTTCCGCAGCCCGGTATTTCAGCATAGGTTTGAGCTCATCTCATGGTTCGCTGATTGGCTTCACGGCATTATGATATTTGCTTCTTACTGCCCGTGCCACCCAGAACGATGGGGCACGGGCGAGGCTTTCAAGTGCAGTCAAACGGGGTGTGTTCTTGGATACGCGTATGAATATAGCAGGGATGCGTTCAAGAGGGGTCTTCAGGAGGCGAACTCTTGGAAGCAGGGCAGGTTCGGGCCTCATCAAAGTCTTCTGGGTGAAGCACAGGGGCTAGTTCGCAGCACACACGCCCTGGCAGCACTTAAGATACGGTTCTTGAATGACTTGCCCTATGTTCTCGCTCGCCTGCATACCCCTGGTGTGCGAGATGTTTGCATCGCCTTGTACAATATGCATCCTGAAGCTAATCATGATGAGACAACTCTTCATTTCTTGAGGCCTGGAGGGCCATTGCGCGCAGCTGTCGATGCGATGGGCCAGGACGGAAGTAACATGAGCGCCGAGCTAGAGTTCGAAGTCAATGCTCTTCGCCATGCCCCCCTAGACGATACAGTTGCTGAAGGCCCCCATGCAGTAGCCTCGCATCACCACAAGAGAGCACGACGGGCGACATTCCCTTGGATAGCATCGAGTTTGAGACTGCAGTCTAATTTGGAGGATTGGAAGCAGTTCACTAGTTCTTTGGGGGAGCCAGTCGACAATCATTGGTCCATCGCATCTTCAGTGCTGAAAGTAGGTGTTGGAACCCGTGGCGCCCAGCGTGGTTTCAAAGGGCCTCGACATGTTGCTGAGGGGCGGACGTACACCGTCAAGCACCTCTCGCACATGAGGTTTGGCATGGCCGCGGTGGCACCAGGAGCTGGGAATGGGCCAGCCGCGGGACCAGGAGGTGGAGGTGGAGGGCCAGGAGATGAACCCGATGACGGCGATGATGGCGAGGACGGGGGCAAGGACGAGGAAGAGGGCCATGAAGATCCTGAAGGATGGGATGACGGAGGCGGTGGAGGTGGAGATGATGGCGATGGGAGAAAACGGAAACGACCTAACTCAGAAGGCATTCAGGAGAAGGAGGCTAGTCTGTTGGGCGATTTTCTGGACAAAACCTTGGTTCCGTTTCAGTACTACTCAGTACACTTCCCAGACCCCGATGAAGACGATGATATATGTGTATATATGCAGGTGTTATCGACTAAAGTTAGAGCGAAGTTAGTACACACTGTATCATTCGCCAGCGACGACGACATCAGGAACTACACTGTGCATGCTCAGGTTTTGGAGCGTATGATCGTGGACGATCCCATCGATGACAGGATCGAGGCATTCCCCGTTCAGGACCCTGGCCCCGTCGACATGTTTCAGCTCCTGGACTCGTCTCGTGAGGCTAGGCAAAGGCTTAGGATCTGGAAAACAACTGAGTCTGACGTCGAAGGGTGTGTGAGGCTGTGCGAATCCAAAGTGGCATCGCCGACCGGTGCCAGGATATCATGGCCAGTTCTCTCGTAGACGAGCTCGAGGACTGCGGGTGGACGCCCTTGCAGTCAGTAGTTCAATACGAGAGTGCCGAGTCTGCAGTTTCGTATGATGGAAGGCAGGTGCGAGTTGGACGGAGGCATTACTACTTGTGTCTCTTAGCTTTGCCGAGTGTCTTCGAGCGTGGAGCTCGTCCATTTTCTTCTGCAGAGCCTGACATATTTTTCAAGCTGCTGCTCAAAGACCCTGCGAAAGCAGAGCCCAAGAGCACGGCTGCCAAGCTCAGAGCGATTTTAAACGGTCTCGGCGATGACGATGACCCTGATCAGATTGCGATTTTGAGCAAGCCTGCAAAGAAAATAAAGCTAGGACCGCCACCAGCCCTGGAGGATGTTGGCGGCGATGAGGGCATTTTGCCACTGATCGATGGTGCTGTGGACGATGTTTCGGACGGTGCTGAAATGTGCGTCGGCGGTGGAGCCGACGACGACGAGGTGGGAGGGGACGATGGCACGATCTATCCCATGGAGGATGAGCCAGTGCCTGATCCTCCGTTGCCCGCTCCCGATATGCCCGTGCTTCCGCCTGCGCCTCTTGACCCCATTCCAGCTTTCATTGAAGGGCAGAGAGTGTGGCGTGAAACGCACAACGGCCCAGGAGGTAAGATATCTACAGGCATTCGGGTTCAATGCAGCAACCCTGCCCATCAGAACTGCAGGCTTTTTCGGTCTACTGCTCTGGGCACCGACCGTCACGGCCCTCGCGCGGCAGAGTTTTTCGTCGGAGCATGGCTCCGGCTTGCACACGGAGTCGATGACAAGAAGGATCATCGAAAGCCTCGCGCAGCCGAGGTAGACGCATATGCCGACGAGCACCGTTGATCAAAAACAAGCCAGGCAACAATCAAACGCAAGTGTGTACACAACAACATAGCATGCCATATCAAAACAACAAATAATATACATAGCCCTCATCATTATTGTCCAAAACAACATCAGCCACATCTTATCATCAAACACAATCTCATAGCTGGGTCAAACGACACTCGTACCATCAAATATACGAGTGCCCAATATGCAAACAATCAGAAACATCATAATACAAACAACTACCAACACCACGTTCTAAACATAACAGTCGTAGACATAGCGCGAGGATCAAGCTACGAGTAAGTCAGTTTCCGCATCGGCACTTTTTTGACTCATTGCATCTCGTTTCCTACATGGCCCCCCCGAAGCCGCACGTTGAAGAGCCGTCATTCTCTTTGGTGATCAGGATCCCTGAGTCTGCGTTGAGCAAAGAGTACGATTACATCACGGAGGTTCCTTTGCGTGTCATGGTGCGCAAGAAAGTGCAGACAGCCCCAAGCCCAGAGCAGGCAGATAATGGCGTTGCCAGCGCCAGCACCGAGGCCAGCTCAGGCCAGCGTGCAGCCGGCGACGGGCAACAGGAAGCGCCAAGGTCAGAGCCTCCGTCAGAGTCTCCGCCAGTGGAACTTCCGACCCTAGATGGACCGAAGGAGCAAGTGAATTTGCTGAAGCTCCTCGCAGAGATGGGCGACTCGGCCCCGCCCTTGGAGACAGAGCCAGAGGTAAACAAGATCGAGTACCAGGACCCCCGATCGCCGTTCAAGATCACGTTGGACGACGACGCCCGCATGCCGCCACCAGCCACACCTCCGCCGAAGAGGAGTTCCTGCGGCGAGAAGGAGTCTAAGGATGATGAGCAGCTGCAGTCCAGGAAGAAGGCAAAGCGTCCCGATGATGAAGTTCCCGAGCCCACTTCTGAAGTGCCGACGTTGCCAGCCAACGACTACCACGCCAAGCTCAACGCGGCCCTTGGCTCTTCCTGGGGCTTCAACCAGCCTCGGACCGTCCGCTCCTCAGGCTCTGCTTCGTCAGGCATCAACACCAAGGAAGTGATTGCCGTCGACTCGCAGGAAGATTCGGATCCGTCTGCAACTTCAAAGGCCATTTCAAGTCAGCCTCTTGAGCCGCTCAGTGATTCGCAGCCATGGGCCGACGATGATCCTTACGCTCACTCGCAGTCGCAGGCTGCTTTTGAGGAGTCGCAGGCTGTTTAGGCACCTCGGCCCATATGCAGTGCAGCGCCTCTCGAGCTGTTTGCGCTGGTGGCGTGGACAGGTGGAGCCATAGTTTTGCATAACATTGAGAAGAAAACATTGTCTTGCTCGGCCCAAGAGGCCTCCAAGACGGCTCAAGAGGCTTCCAAATGAAGAGGGCTCCAAGACGGCCCAAGAGGCCTCCAAGTTAGGAGGACTCCAAGACGGCCCAAGAGGATCCCAAGACGGCCCAAGACGGCTCAAGAGAAATCCAAGACGGCCCAAGAGGCCTCCAAGTCAGGAGGACTCCAAGACGGCCCAAGAGGTCTCCAAGTCAAGAGGCCCTCAGAGGACTCCAAGCGGCTCCAGGAGGCCCCCCAATTGCCCCCCCGAGCACGCAAGCAAGTGCCAGCGATGATAAAATATTGTCCAGCGGAATCAGTAAAGCGATAACATAAAAGCTTACGTGGACATCTAATTTTAAACTTATTAGTGGTGGAGTTGTAATGTGATTAACAGTAAAAGTAAAATGTGTGGGGGTTCTAGAATAATGCTTAGGCTTCAACTTACATTGTAATTCAGCTTTATTGCCAGTGCCAGAAAACAAATAGTGTAATTGTAACACATATAATTGGAGCCTGCATTATTGTTCTGGCTACACTTTCGTATGAAACTATGATTCGCTTACCCGTAGCAATTAACTTCGTAATGCCTTTTGAACCATGCTTAATGTTATACGTATTGATAGAAGGAGGGTGTGCCCCAAACAATACTCATATCGCGTGGTGTCACACAGTGATCCTTTAAGGACTCCTCAACAACTCCTGTGGGGTCTCAAAGGTTTCCCCAGGAATCCTAAAGGCTTGCTGCGAAAGCCTAAGGAAAAAACTACTGAACCCCAAAGCCCCCAAACGATTGACAAAGGACTCCCGCGGGACTTCCCCAATGCCAACGCGGCCATGGAACTTCTATTGGACGCCTAGACGGTTCCGGGAGAATCTAAATGATTCCACTTCCACCGACCCATGGACATCTCAAAAGAAATGAACAAATCTTGCTCGGATCCCCTATGGGGTCCTTCGGCATTCTGAAGACTTCCTCGAAGAGCCCAACGCGTTTCATCCGAATTTGCGTCGCGCGCACCCCCGAAAGGGCCGCCTCTTCAAGTGTCGCATCTGCGCGGAGGACAAACCCGCGGGGCAGTTCGATGACGCCGTCTTTAAGACGCACACGGGCGCCAAAGACGCCGCGCGCGCAGAGTGTCTGGACAAGAGAATGAAGGACTTGTGCAAGGGAGGATGCGGAGCAAACCCTCTGGAACGTTTTGACGCGCGGCACACCCTGGCCGTCGACGTCGGCGGCGGCAAAAACTTTGCCTGGGCGACTCATGGGGGGCCTTTAACTTTGCCGTGGGGCACCATGGGCGCGCTTTTACTTTAGTATAGAAATCGATTGTGTCAAGGAAAACCCTTGCCCCCACCCTCCATGGGCACCGTTTTACTTTGGGCTGGCGCACCAGCAATTACCTTAAACCAACCTTAAACCAACCTTAAACCAACCTTAAACCACCGCCAATTACCTTAAACCAACCTTAAACCAACCTTAAACCAACCTTAAACCACCGCCAATTACCTTAAACCACGCCAATTACCTTAAACCAACCTTAAACCAACCTTAAACCAACCTTAAACCACCGCCAATTACCTTAAACCACAGCCAATTACCTTAAACCAACCTTAAACCAACCTTAAACCAACCTTAAACCATCCAGCGACTCGCACATGCGATGTAGCCATATATGCGCGCGCCGCGCGCTGTGCGGGCGCCAAGTGCCTCGCGAGCGTTCGTCTGGAGTGCGTCCGACCGAAGTGCACGCGCGCGCATTGGCCAGGACGCGCCGAAACATGTGCCATTCAATGCCGAAGTCAATCGGCAAGACCACGGAGGACGTCGAACGCAACCCGTGCCCCAAGGAAACTGCCTCAAGGAGGGTTTAAGGGTTTAACGGGTTTAGCGGCGTTTAAAAATTAAGGGATGTTCAAGTGTGCTGAAAGGTTTAATGTGGGTTAAAATATTTTCGGTTGTTCAAAGGGCTTAAGGCTTTCAAGGGTTTAAGGGTATAAGGAGGGGGCTACTGGGCTTGGGGGTTTCACCCCTGGAACCCCTCAAGCACATCGAAAATCATTGAACCAATTTTCAACACCCTTAAACCCTTTCACCCCTTTAAGCTCTTTAAGGCCTTTCAACCGCTCAACCCTCTTTATACCCCTTGAGCCCTTCAACCCCTTAAACACCCTATAAGCCTTAAGCCTTTTACCCCCTTAAGCCCTTTAACCTCTTAAACAAGGGGGGGGCGTTGGGGGGAGGGGGGGGGGGGGCATTTCAAATTTCTTTCAGGACTCTTAGGCGTCCAGAAGGGCATCCTCGGGACTCCGGAGGTATACGGAAAGAGCTCTACCACCCCCACATGGCCATCCCTGTGATATTCCAATACCAATATACGGGGGCATGTTGCAAACATAATGCTGTTTGCGAAGGTATGCCATTGTGAACCTTATCGCGCCCAACGAACGCGCGAAACTTTCTCGCGCGACGCATGTCCGATTGCAAAGCACACTATCCACATAGTGAGCAACACCGCATCCGCACCATCGAAGACACCGCGTGACAGCACACACATACACACATAGGCACCACAGTGGTCATCACAACACTGCCACTACATATGGTGGATACTATCAGGTTTGAAATGCAAGCAAAAACAATCAAACACAAAACAAAACAACTCAATCACCAACAACGTACCGGCCACAGGCGCACTGGCTCAAGCTTACAGCGCTGCGGGGGCAACCAGTTCAACCAGCCCAAAGCCCTGTGAGGGCGTCGTTGTGGAACCGTCCCATCTCAAGACCGCGCTCATGCCGCCGAAAGCTGCAGCAGGGCCACCGTTGCGCTTCCCCGCATACATCAGGGATTGCCCCTACCCCATCCTGAAAAAGAGGTTGAAGAACCTGTGCAAGGGCAGATTCCTAGCGAGGCTCCAGGCGAAGAGGTTCCAGCACCGCCTCAAGGCCCTCCGCGCGGCGTTGGGCAACCTGAGGGAAGTATCCGATCGTACGCTCCTGCAGGATCAGGCGAGGAGCAACACGGACGCCGACCACATTCACCAGCTTGAGGGCGAGATCGACAACGATCCAGACGATTCGGACTAGGCTAGAGCGGTGGTTTTCAGCAAGTGTGAGTGTATCATATTCTTGTGTGGTGCTCAGAGCTCAGATATCACGATATCTGGTAAGGTGACTTGTTCGGAATTACCAGAGAGCGGCCGTCTGAGAGCGGCCGTCGCCCGTCGCAATTGGTAGAGCTGATAGTGTATTTCACGTCGGGGCAGCACTTCTTTTTGCAACGGAAGCCAGCCTGCAGGAAAGCGGAGCAAGGAGAAAAAACAGATAACGCATCTCATCGCCAGTTCGCGCGATACCGAATGTTGGCCCGAATGCGCGTCCCTAGCCTTTCCTCGCCCTTCCCCTGGCCGCCGTGGGGGCGGTTTGGGGGTCGGGTGGGTGGGTTTCTTGAGGTTTCTGGAACTCAACTCGTTTTGTACATTATCATCATTATCATCAGCATCGCCATCACTGGCATCATCATCAACATGATCATTGCACTTCTAATTCACGATGGTTGTCATCATGGGTACTGGCCTCGGGGATCCCAAGTGCTTCGAGGATGAGTCCTATCAGCCGCGCCGAGCCGTCGGCATGCTCCATGGTCTGGAGTTGGGGGCCCTTCCGATCAAGTTGAGGGGGTCTCGCCTCCATCCCCCCCTCCATGCTATTATTCCTTACACTTACATTCTCCCTCTCCTTACGTTCTTGGCCCGTTGGTATGTTTGATTGGGCCAAGCTTGTCTCAGGCTTGTGTTGTGGCTCTGTAGTACAAGTGCTTGGGCCATAGACAAAGCATGCCATATACAATACAGGCCACAAGCAAGACAGGTCACATGCGAGGCAGGTCATATACAGATCACGTCATATACATAGCATGCCATATGCAGCCATATACACAACTTGTCATAGACCAGGCAGGCTATATACAAATCAGGTCGTTTACAGAGCATGCCATACACAATACATGCCTCATACTATACATGTCATACACAAGGCCTGCCATACACACATCAAGTCATATACAAAGCAGGTCATATACAACAATAGCCACATACGACACAGGTCACATACGAGGCATGCCGTATACAAAGCAGGTCACATACATAGCGTGTCATATACAATGAATGCAACATACATTACAGGTCATACACAGGGCACGCCATGTACAAAGCCTGTCATAAACAAAGCCTGTCGGATACAATGTATGCAACACAGCAAATATCATATACGAGACATCACCATAGGCTCCATGATATCAAACACGAGACAATGCATGCAACAGAAATACGAGACATCAACATATACGAGACATCCACATATACGAGATATCATATACGAGACGTGAACATGTATGATATCACTACGAGGCATCAACATATACGAGACATCATATACGAGACAATGTATGCAACACAACAAATATCGTATACAGTGACCTTGATTCCAGGAGCTCCAGGGAACCGTCCAATCAGCCGCGCCGAGAGCTTCCCGAGGCTCCAGGGAACCGTCCAATCAACCTCGCCGATTCCAGAGGGTCCAGGGAACCGTCCATTCAGCCTACCCGAGGCTGAGCTCTTGCTTCCTCCTTCCTCCTCCTCATCCTCCTGCGCATCCTTCGGCTCCGGTATCCTCGGCACATGCCTGAGTCCTCCTCCGCTCCCTCCTCATCGACCTCGTAGCGTTTAGGCTCGAGCAGTGGTGGCAGCGAGCGGCAGGGCCCTCCAGAGGGTAGCCTCATCTGCCTTGCAGCGCGGTTTGCGCTGCGTTGGGACCGCAGATGGGCGAGGACGAGGTCGCTGCGGATTGCGCCATCACGGAGTTCGACGACTACAAGTACAGCTGCGGCATCTGTGAAGAGGAGGATACAGCAGCAAACCTACCGTTTTGTTGGAGAGGGTTGTGGTTGCACGGCAAATGTCAGGCGGGGAGGCGCGCTCATAACTACTATATTCGTGATGCGCCACAATCGGTGCATGATGAAATAGAAACGGAGTTTACCGAAGATCCTCCGGCCTGGAGGAAGAGGATGCTAGTGTGGGTGCAGCCAGATATGAAGTCGAGAATGAAAGCTCGGGCAGACGCCTCCAGTCGCCAGGTGGCCTCCGTGAAGTCCTCAGAGACCAAGAGCTCCAACAAGCGCCTCGATGATATGATGGAGTTGTCGCTGGTTCAATTCCAGTCGTGGAACGGCTTCTGGAATCGCAAGAGCGACGCAGAGTCACAGGCGGAGTTCATCCAGAAGCACAAGGAGCAGAAGGGCGCCTTCGACGAGAAGGACGATCACGGGAGGGTCATAGAAGAGAAGATCCAGGTCAAGGACATATCTCGGACAAGGTCGTCCAAAGGTACTGTCGACAGGGAGGCAGTCGTCGAGAAGGTCGTGGAGGACGACAACGAGGGTTTCCAGTCCAAGAAGCGGAGGCTCATGATGAAGCAGACGGTGCAGGCGGCGAACAGCGCGTGGAAGGGGTCCTCGACAAGCAGCGGCATGTTGTCGAAGGGTGCTCCCTCTCCGGGACAGAACCAGGCAGCCGTTCATCAAGGTTCTGGCCCGCCGTCGTGGACTATTCCGCCGTCTTCAGCTCCAGGTTCCGATGGAACGTTGGATGCTCCGACCCTCCCTCAGAGGCAGCCTTCGCCAGCGCGTTCAGTGAGGTCCGAGCTCAGCCAGGGGCAAAGTGCGTCCAAGAGGGGCGCCAAGAAGGCCAAGTTCAGCATGAAGCCAAACGTGAACATCGATGATCAGACTCGGGAGCGCATCGTGCCGTCTGCTCCAGGGGTCGAGAAGCTAGAGCCCGCTGAGTTCATGCAGCTGAAGCAGATGTGGGTGCTGATGGCCGCACACGTGGTGAAGGGCTTCAGGGAGCCGACGAACGGATACATCAAGCAATTGAAGTCGGCGAGCCACGGCATCTCAGCCTCCCAGGAAACGGATTTGACGATGCCCACGGCCAAGCTCATCGAGCTGCTCGAGGGGGCGTGCAATGACGTGACGAACAATTCGGATAAGATCGAGAAGGAGTGCACGAAGGCCGACTTCTGCAAGATAGTTCTTCTCCTGCACGCGCGAATGAACGAGCTCGACGGGCAGAAGAAACTAGTTCAGAGTCACATCACGGGGCTGAGTTTCGTGAGCTCCAAGACGAATCATCAGAACTCGGTGGCCTACATGACGCACTACAACAAGAGGGGGCAGGTCACCAAGAGACTGACCAAGGGCTCGTACGACAAGATCTTGGGCGACGGCCTGTCGAGAGTGCTGTACGCGGGCCGTGGCGAGGCCGAGAAGGAGGCCATGCAGGTCACGACCAGTGAGAGCGGCAAGGGCAAAAAAAAGAAACCGATGATCCTGCAGGGGGTCATCAACATCAACGCGGACTACGACGAGAATAAGATCTGCCTGTGGAACTCCGAGGCCCACGAGATCTACACGGACGTCCAGGGCTACTTGACGAAGTTGGGCGACCTCGTCACCGCTAAGGCTGGTGTGCACGAGACTGCATTCAAGGAGAGGGGCGAGAAGTGGCTCAGGTGCCTCGGCCGCATCAGCTCAGATATACCAGAATATGCCATGAAGACCTTCGCCGACGACCTCGTCAACTTCAACGCGGGCGCATTTTCACCGTGGTTGTGCACGTGCCGCGCCGACTCCCTGAGGTACGGGCCCGCGGCGTGGCCGTTGATAGGGCACGCCGCCCTCGCAGTGCCGACCTGCGACGACATGCACTTCATGATGGTTCCAGTGGAGGCGGTGCTCGCCAACGGGATCGCGCTCGGCGATTTCCTGAAGTTCTGCGAGACCGACGAGGGCGCGAAGGTGCTCGGCGACGCCTTCTACGTGAGCGCGAAGGCCAAGGACGTGATCTACATCCCGTTCGGCATGCTCTGCGTGCCCCTCTTTTTCCCGCCGACGCCGGCGACGGTGAGCGGCAAGAACGTCCAGCTGCTGCTGGGCAACGTCCTCGTGCTTCCCTTGATGCACAAGGGGCGCGTCGAGGCCAGGAGGGGGAGCACACGCTTCACCTCCTCCTCCTTCACCTCCTCCCCCTCCTCCTTCACCTCCTTCACCTCCTCCTCCACCTCCTTCACCTCCTCCTCCCCCTCCCTCACCACCTCCTCCTCCTCTTCCTCCTTCCCCCTGCTGCTCCTCCTCCTCCTCCTTCACCTCCTCCTCCTCATCATCCTCTTTCTCTTCATTTCGCCCTGCACCCTCAACTCCTCGTCTCCACCCTCCTTATATTCCTCATCATTCCCCTTTCCGCTCCCACTTGGCACCTCCCTCTCCTCCTTCCTCTGTCTCCTCCGATCCCAGGCGACCGACTCGACGACGGTTCAGGCCATCAAGACATTCAACATGGGGTACCTCTCGAGCCAGTCGGGGGGCATGTACAAGGATCGCAAGGCGGGGCTCGAGGCATTCCACTCCTAAGACGGCGACTCGGTAGGATATCTGAGGGAAGTAGGAGTAAATAGGAGGAGGAGGAAGGGAGGAGGGAGGAACTATGAGGGACGAGGGAGTTAGCTAAGATGACGATGGCCAGTATATGTATGGTGATGGTGATGATGGTAATGCTACTGATGAAGATGGTGTTTATGACGAGGTTATATTGACGACAATCGTGATGATGGCGATGCTGACGACGATGATGACGACAGTGGTGATCGTGATAACGAAGACGATATCGATGACGATAACGATGGCACGCATGATATTGATGACGACGATTGTGAACGTGGCGTCGATGTTAGTGGCGATGGTGACGACGATAGCGGTGGCGATCGCGATGCCAACTATGACGACGGTGCTGGTGGTGATGGCAATGGTGATGGTGACGAATACGACGACGATAACGAGGAGGAGGGCGAGCAGGATAGGAGGCTATGAGGCCCGTGGGATGGGAGACTAGGCGAGTAGCAAGTGAGACGGATGAGGAGGAGGAGGAAGATGACGAGAAAGAAGAGGACGTCTCGCACGGATGCCGTAGATTTAGACCTCGAGGCCCCGAGGACGACCTTGAGGTTCGGGGGCAGCAGGCTTGCTACGGATCGCTGCGCGCCACCGCTCTCCTTGGTTTGAAAAATAACGGGCGCGAGAACGCTCAAAGGGGTGACGGCGAGGAGAGCGAGGATACTGATGACGAGAAGAACAAGGGGGAGGAGGAGGGGGAGGAGGAGGGGGGGGGGCCGCATCGCAGCCCTCCCTTTTCCTCCTGGTCTGAGTCCTCATCCCACCCACCCTCGTCATCATACTCCTCGTCCTCCTACTCCGAATCGTCATCATACTCCTCCCTCCTCTCCTCTTCCTCAGCCTCGTCCTCCTCCGCTTCCTCTTCAATGCTCACTTGCTCTTCCTCCCCCTCCTATCCCTCCTTCCCCCCCTCCGACTCCTCCCTCCTCCCTCCTCCTTTCACCGCGTGCTCAGACCCCAAATGGGTCCATTGAGCGATAAGCCAAACAACCAGTCACAACCAATATCCAACACAACCAATAGCCCATACAACCAATAACCTATACCAATCACCAACGACATAACAATCAATATCCCAAACAACCAATAACCAATAACCGATAGCACGACCCACTAACTCATATAACCAATAACGTAAGCCAACGCGCGCATGCCAATAGTCGATAACCCAAGCGATCAATAAACCAACCAACCACCACTCAATACCCGAATGCGGGTAAACCACTCACCAATCGCGTGCGCGGGTGAACCAACAACGAACGACCCAAGCGGCCACCAACCTAAACGATGACCAACGCACCTGGACAAGAAACAACCACATCAACGACGCGTAGCATAATCAATAATGCAAGCAATTGTACCCTCAGAACCACTACAACCAATAACTTAAACGAACACGGCTGCGCGAAGGGCGCGCGACTGTGCGTACATCGAGCGCCCGCTGCCTTAAACCACGACACATGAGGCGCCCGCTGCCTTAAACCACGACGACCACCCTTAAACCACCGCGAGAGGAGACCAAACCAACCTCAGGGGGAGGCCCCTGGGCCAGGATCATCCTTATCCAGAGATGTGCCAAGGAGCGCGTCTACCCAGGCAGGGCCAGGTGGCGGGCTCGATCTCGTCGGGCCTTGACGAGAGCGCAGCAGCCAGCCCCGGGGCGGGCCCCGCCGACGCCGAGTTATCCGCCTACTGGGCGTGGACCAACGGCGAGGCTTGCGAGCGCCCGCGTGGACGGGCCCCACCTCTCGCGCCGGGAGCTCGCCGGCTGGGAAGGATGCGCCAGGCCAGCCGGGCTCGGATTCACTGGGGGCTGCGCCAGGGGAAGCCGCCGCCGAAAGCGTTGGGGGCCGCCCGCAGCCAGACCCCCCACTTCCACGCGCAAAGCCCGAGGGTCCGAGAGGACAGTGGCCGGCAGGTCTGCGCGGAGCACGTCCTCTGGAAGTCCCGGCCTTCCATTCAAAGCGCCGCGCGCGACTGCGACCCGCCCCCCCTCGCGCAGCCCGCGCCGGGGGCGGCCAACTCGGCCGCTCCGCGCGCCGGCGCGCGCGATGCGGCGTCGAGAAAGACCTCAAGGCTGGGCCGCTTGGCGCGCTCGCGTCGGCCCGGGCGCCCTGCCCGAAGGCAGTTTATGATCGGCGCAGCGGGGGGCCAATTGCGGCCAAATGTTTCGCGCGGGGGGCGCGGCGCATCCGGCGCCGGACGGCGAGCGCGACGGCCGCGACGCAGCAGTGGGGGGAAGTATCGGCGCCAATTCACAGCGAAACAGCCCGCCGAGGATCGCCGGGCGGGGCTCGACCGCAAGCACTTCGAGACCACGCGCGCGGGGCCCCTCTGCGACCGCGTCGCGGCGGCTCGTCGGGCGAGGGCCGCCGCGGGAGGGCCGCGCGAGCTCGATGGTGCCCGATCTTTCCCGAGACGGGGGTACTTGTTCTGACCCTCTGTGGGGTGGGGGGGGCGTCGACTGGCGGAATGATGCGAGCCAGTTGCGCGTCGCCGGCGCCGCCGGCGCCGCGGTGCTCGGCGCTGCGGGGCCGGCGTCGATGCCAGCTAACTTCCTCCGGAGGCCGCCGAGGGCACGATTCCCCGCAGTGGCGCGGCGCTCCGCGGCTCCTGGCCCCGGGGTCCGCGGAGGCGCTGCGCCCCAGGTCGCGCCGCTGCGCCGCCGCCCGCGCCGCCTGCAGGGGCGCCGTCTTCTCGGCCGACGGCCCAGCCTCCGTCGCGAGCCCAGCTCGCGCAGCCGAAGTTGCCGAATGGGCGAGCGAAGCTGGAGAAGAAAAGCCCTGGATCATCATCGGGGGCATCATGTGGCGCCATGGCTATTCCAGCTGCATGCCAGATGCCAGTCTTCGCATCGCGGCTTTTCCTACCGCTGCGATCGGCACCGCGCCCGCCAGAACCCGCGCCGGCAATGTTGCCATGCGACGTGCGGTCGCGCACTTCGTTGCGGAATGCTTCATCATGGCAATGCTAGCTGCGAAGAATTTGGGAGCCGGCCTTCTGGGCAGCGGGCCACGCCGTTCAGAAGGACCACTGCGCGCGACCTGGGCCCGACTGCGATCCCCCCCCCCCCGGAGGATATCAAGGCCACGCGCGTCGATGTCGACTGTCAGCTACCAGTGCTCGAGGGCCAGCCCCCTTGTCCCAGCGGCGGCGTCGCTGGCTCGAGAGGGCTGCCTTGGCCTTGGAGAGGGTCACGGCGCGGGTCTCGTCGCCAAGTCGGAGGCGGTCAAGAAGGGCCAAGTCTTGGGGCCCACGTTCAGTCCCACGGCCTCGAGGCCATCGCGCAGAGCAGGGGCGTCCATTATCTTGCACATGCTGTAGAAGCCAAGCAGGCAGGTTGCCGCGCTCGCGACGGCTGAGGGTAGCGACAAGCTGGAGGGCAAGCCCCTGGACGCCATCATCGAGATGCACACCGAGGGGCACCTCGACAACGGAGCTCCTGGCCCACCGAGCGCGGGGCGAGCTCGCGACGAGACGGCGCAGGCCAGTTTGATTCCGAAGCGTGGGGAGCAGTCTCGTCTATCATGCGAGACGCCGCCGACTACCCTCCATTCGCAGCCAATGCTATGAGCAGCGACTGGGGGAAGATCTGATGTTCTACAGCCCTTGCTGGTTGTCCTTGCGCTGACGGCTGGAAGGGCTACAGCAAGCAACTGGTGGATGCATTACCTCAGAGTACGACCCAGCTGGACTGGGCCCCATCCTACGCCCAGTTCCCGAAACCGATTGCCAAAGGAAAGGGGGGCGCGGGGTTGGGCGGCTGGGCAGTCAGCGAGATCAATATGATGGCCTAGCTCATGCTTTTCCTGGCGCTGCAGGACCATTACGGCCCGTGGCTGACCGCGGCCCGCGTCCTCGGGGATAATGGCACGGGCCGGGTCTGTGTGCGGATTGTGCGAAGCAGCGAGGCGGTGGTCCCCCGTGAGCTCTTCTTTGCCCGGCGGGTTGTTAGCGTCCCGAAAACCGAACACACGTAGTTTCGACCGATCTGGGTCGCCTCGGCCCTCCTTTGGGCCTGGCTGACTCGTGGAGAAGCCGCCTTCCCAGCACCGCGGGATGCGCAACGTGCCTGTAAGAGCGGTGCGTCCGTGGCCCGCGCAGTCTGCGCTTAGCTGGAAGCTTGTGCCGAGAAGGCTGCCTGCATAGGAATGGACCTCAGTAGTTGTCATGATATAGTGCCTCTTCGAGTTAGCAGCGTTGCTATGTCTGAAGCAGCCACCCCGAACAACCTCATCGGCGTGTCGCGCGCCGCCCGAGGCGGCGAACGACGTTGCCAAGCGGCCCGGGGAATGTCGGATGAGCATGTTTGGCCCCACTTCGCCCCCGAGCACGAGGGGGTCATTGCGCGCCCAAAAGTATGCGTCGAGTTTGTTCCGTGGCCGGCGCGAGGAGAAATGGGCTCGCCCACGGGCCCATGCATGGTCGCAGTCTCGCGCGCAAGTCGGGCGAGATCCCACGATCCGGCATCGCAGCCGCCGTCGCCTTCGACGCCAGCGCGGGAGATGTGGAGAAGACCGACAAGCGGCAGCGCTGGCTGCCGGGCCAGCGGCAGGCGATGGAACGCGATGGGGGCGTCGGCAGCGCCTGACAATCCAGAGGCGCCCATCGCGCCCGCTGCAGGCTGGAAGAACATCAGCTCCATGAGAAGCCTCCCAGGGGGAGCCAGATCCGCTTGGGAACTGCCAGCGCGCACGTTCGACCGAGGCGTTGCTGGGCGCGCCCCGCGTTCTCGCCGCCGCCGCTGGGGTCGGCCGCCAAGTTGATGGCCCCTGTCCTTCGCGCGCGAGTCTCCTGGTGGCGTCGCGGCCGCGCCTGCCTGATTCTATCAAAACGGCCCTGGCGCCATGCGCAGTTTTGCGCGTTGGGCCCTCGACAATTCGCAGGGCGAGCCGCGATTCTTAACCCCGCTGACCTGGGCGCGTCGATCTCGGATGGCGCCCCCGCAGCGTTGGCGAGCG